CGTAACTTTCAAGACTTCCCCCTCGTTTCTCTCTCTCTCTCTCTCTCACTTTCAAAGTATATCGCTACATTCCCTAACAAATTTATTAATAATAATCTCGGAGCAGCTTTCTCGACGATTTTCATTTTTGATGAAGTGATTCAATAAACGGCTCGTTGCAATTCTAATGAGCGTTATTCCGATTCGAGATGCAATGCACAACTCGCCGTCAGAATCGACTAGAATAATTAGAACTGTTCTGCAAGAAAAAGAATCAGAACGAATGAATAAACGACAATTGGCCGAATAAATAGGACATTTTATAAAATAAATCGTTATAATATAATTATTCCGTAATTGGTCATACTTAAAACGTCTTTATTTTACTATTGCTTAAAATAAAAATGTACACATAACTCTTTTATATATTTATTTAATTTTTTCGAAACTTTCTTACCACAGTATTTTGATTCGCAATTTTCCGAACACTCTATATATAGAGTGTCCCAAAAATATCGGGACATTTGAATATCTCGGAAAATATAAATTTTACAGAAAAGTGTTTCAAGTGGCGACGCCATCCAAGGTCAAACTGATAAGATCCGTAAATAGATGTTTTTAAATCCTTTTATCTAAAACACTTTTATCTAAAACACTTTTCTGTAAAACTTATATTTTCCGAGATATTCAGATGCCGACCTTTTTGGGATACTCATGTATACGAACAAGATGATAACTTTAATTCTCAGGTTGTATTTTCACAATAAAAAAATTCTAAAATTTATATTAAAAAAGAATTAAAAATTGTAACATTATTTCTTGATTATTTTCTTCGTAAAACGACGGTAATATAATTATAATTAGTAGTATTATATAGTATGTTTGCTGGTATAATACGTTCATCTTGTCCTATCCTTTGTTATATTGATAGACTTTAAAATTTGCTTTTTACTATGAGCAATTGACATAATACGAATATGCACGAGGCACAAAGGGTTAATTGCGTTCCATGGTGTACAAAGGAAGAGCGCCGCATAACCATCGAGTGCAACGAGCGGCTCCATACCGGCTTTATTCCTAACGAACGAGTTACGTTTGCTATGTAAATTGAATGCGACGCGCGAAGGTTTACCAAGTGGCGAAGATTAACTCAAGGTTAAATAACGAGTAAAATAACGGCCATTCTCCTAATATATTATATTAACACTTAGCGTTTAAGTTTTTCATCAAAATGCATCTCGTTTATAATTACACAATTTTGTAATTATAAAATTTGCAAACTTAAACGTGTTATAATGTGCCATAATAATATTTCATGAGCTCGGTTTGATCGTTTAATGATAATACTATAATATTGAATAATATTGAATACTATAATATACTATAATATTGAATATAATTGAATATTGAATATAATATTGAATACTATAATATACTATAATATTGCATCTGCACGAAATTGAAATTAAATCAAATGCAAGTCTTTACATCGCTTTTCTCATTGCTACTTATTAATTTTTTTTATTTTCATGTAGTAAATATTATTAAACAATATTGTCCCAAGAAGCGAATTAAAAAATTGATATACACATATTTATATGTACTAAACTTCGTTTAGTGCTTAATAAAATTTTTTACTACAATATAGTAAAATATTTATTTTATTTATAGAATAGATAAATTAATTTAATTATAGAATATATAATATATAGAAAATATATAAGATTATAAAAAAGACAATAAAATCCATTCGTTGATTCAATTGTCAAATTTATAAAAAATTGATCTCAAAACTTACGTAAAAAAGTATTAAAATCTATATAATACTATCTCTTAGTTATTCTCTTCATAACTAAAACAATATAATTATAATTATATTGTTTGATAATATAATTATAATTAGTATTACTATCTGTGTATATTTGCTAGCGTGTAATATGTTATGGGTTAATCTTGTAAGGATTTTGAAATTATATTGAGATATATTAAATCACAGAGAATCCCATTAGATATTTTTGGAGTATTTTCCGCATGATGTATGTGAACTTCCTTGCATAAAATCGTAAATCACACAGTGGAGAGAATTGTAAAAATATGCCGCGAATGACTTTGTCCACAGTGAAAATATGTCGGCGGAAAGTGAACTGAAAAGGACACTTGGCTTCCACCGATAAATAGAAAAGGAAGTAGTTTTCAAACTCAAGTGGGTCGTTAGAAAATAATGAGAAGGACGATAAAAGAGTGTATAATAAAATTCTCAGTACGACTTGTGCAGCAGTGCTTTTCGCAAGTAAGTCTTCTTATCTTGATATAACTGCGTTGAAATAACTCGAGAGTTTAATACTCGTACGCGATCAGTCTCGGCAACTCTAAATTCTTGTCGTATAATATAACCGTTCAGATTCAATTTTATTGATCAAAACACAACAAAAAGATATCTTCACATAAAAGGATTAACTATAATAAATATATTGTTAGTATAAAAAGAAAAATAAAGTTTTAAATTCTGTGCCTTATCCGCAGATCAATATACACAAACAATTAAATTATTATTCACAGTATTACATATATATGTATATCAATTTATACTGAAATATTTAAGCATTACGACTTTTATTCTAAAATAATTTAAAATAAAGGTCGTAATGCTTAAATATTTCAGTATGAATTGATATACATATCCGCAATTCTACAAATCGCATGCCAAAATATTTTTTATTCTTGAAACGAAATTATGGATAGAACTAGAGTAGTAATATCACATATTAAACTGACAAGCAATTTAATAATAATATTGATGCTAATAAGCATCTTATAAGAGTCTTAATAATTTGATATTAATACACAGAAAAAAAGACTATTTCTAATCTTAAATCAACCATAATATATTCATACATAAACAAAAATATTATAATCTTGCTTCAAAGATATCAATTTTGATTTGATTGAATTTGTATTGATATAAGATTTTTAATTGAGAGTAAGTCTTGAATTAAGTGCAAAGTAATACTTGCATCAAAACAAATTTAATCAAATCAAGATTGATATCTTTGAAGCAAGATTATAATATTTTTGCTTATATATGAATATATTATGGTTGATTTAAGAATAGTCTTTTTTCCGTGTGAGAATCTTAAAAACTGCTAATAATTGATGAATATATCAGATTTCTCTTACTTAATTAGATTTATCCTCATCGATCCAATTTTATATTATAAAATGTCAACATAAACTAAACAAAGGCATGTGCAATCATAATGTATTATATAAAAGCTGTGTAAAAAGATGAAAACTGAATAGGATATCTCAAAATTGAATTACGTGTGGGAATCTGCGAGACATAATCGTATTTTGTATTTTGACAGGAGCTGCGACGTTTGCGAGATCCATTCGTGTGTTCAACGTCGGTGATGGCGGCGGATCGATAGAACGTCTCGACAACGGCAGGAGCTTCTTTCGCAAGCCGATTTCATGCGGATCACCGGACTCTTTTCAGCGAACTTGTGCTGTACGACGTATTTTTCAAGGTGTTATGAACGTGGGGGGTCTTATCTGAGTCTGGTAAGGACGAAGCCGATGCCGCGAGAATGGCTCTGCACGGCTTTAATCCTTATGGATAGTTGATTGATAGTTCGATGTCATTACTGGTCAGGAAGTTTTGCATATGGCACAGCCATCTCATTTTCCGAAAGCTGATGAAATTGCTTGCTCTCTTTCTCCTTCGATTTCTTTTTCTTCTTTTTTTTCTTTCTCAAACTTATCTTTTGTAACCTTTCTATCAAAGGAAGTTACGTTTTCACATGTCTTGCAAACACCTGCCGATACCCGGCTGTGCTTTCTACGAAGTTGCCTTTCCGAACCGGCTATTTTTCGCTTCTCAATCTCGACGGACACACGTGGCATAACAACATCGAATCGCGCGAATAAAGCCGAAAGAAATAACGAATGTCATGCTTTCAGAAAATCTTATTTTAAACATTTTATTAATGTACATTTCTACTAATGTAGATTAATCTGAATCTCGATTTAATTTACTATTTATATCGTTTCTAAAAAATTGTTAGAATTAAAAAGAAATGGAAAATAAATTAAACCAAGATTAAAGTTAATCTACATTGGTAGAAACGAGCATAAAAGAAATAAACTTATTAATTATTAATCAAAACGGATTTTAGTGTGTTAACCGAGGGGGTAACCACTTAATGTAATCGTGGAACAGAATCCTCGAAATAATTATAAAATTTATACAAAATCTCTATGTATAATCCGATAATTACATATGCAACCACGAGAAATCATTGTATAACATTAAATAAAATCGTATATTTTATCAAATTACTTCATAGTAGTGAAAAGAATTATTTGTAATCAGATGAAATCATGTAATCTGTGGGACAATATTTCAGCTAGTGGTTACTCCCTCGGTGTTAACTTAAGCACTGAGATTCGCTTTAATTGAAAATAGATTTATTTTTCTTAATTGATTTATTCTCGTCGAACTAATACGAGTTGTAATCTTTCAAATTCTTTTTACGTCTTTAACTTTACATGAGATAGTGTCCAATTTGTTATTATAAACATCGTATAAAAATATCAATATAAAAATAGCGTGTATAATTGTATATGATCGCGATATATTTAAACTTATACAAAGTAAATTTGAAATACAATAATTAATAATTATGAAGAATTATCATTTATGCAATATATATGTTGTATACCTACTCCTTTCACCTTAAATTTTAAATAAACTAAAAAGAAATGTATGGAATGTTTAAAGAAATGAATACATATTATCGAAAGAAGCAAAATCTTCTATCGTATCTTTATTATTTTAATATCTCTTTTTTAAAACAAAACGAAGATTAACTATTAAGTTAAACTTAGGAGCTCATTCTGTAATTCAAACGAGTGTAACGTTGTAGTCGTTAAAAGTTATAGAATAAACCTCTTATTAGTGCACTATAAATGAAGATTCCAAATTCGTATATTCGAATTAGTTAGATTGTACGGACAATTACCTTAAAGAGCCGCAAGATGTTAGCGACCATAATAGAGACCACGCTGAATGCGGCGCCTATCACACCAGTTACCGGTTTGTGGGGAACGTAAGTGGGCGTCTTGCCATTTTCACATTTGTACTCCGATATGTCCTGAAACGAGAGAAAAGTGCCAAGATACTCTTCCACTGCACGATAACGATATATAATAATAAAGAGAACACTTATTTATCAGAACATCATTTAAAAACGCTTCCCGAAACGGCGAACAAAAGTAAGGTGCAATTTCCACAATTGTGCATTTAAGTTACTACCCTTAGGCACTCTATTAGTCAGCCACATACACCCGCATTTGTTTCTGAAATTTAAAAGCAGCGACATGGCCAATGTACGTCAAAAACAAATATTATCACATATACATATATGCATAATATCAATATGAATGTGGGCCAATATTTAGCGAATGTAAACTAAATCCTATATAGCAAAAGTTGGCGTATATTAGCCATATCGTTTAAAGTCACCTTTAATATCTACCGTTCGAGTAACTTAATTTTCAATTTTTATAAGAGTGAGATTTCACTTTTCTGATTCACTCTACAAGTTTCAGAGAGTAAATAAAACTCAGGAAGGAAGTTATCTTTACGTTCTTACGTATACTTAATCGCCGTTTTGTAAAACATTAAAATAAAGTTTATAATACATTACTGCTTTAAATTTGTAAGCAAAGCATAAAAAAAGAAAAATGTCACTAAAAAAGAAATATCAATATCAAATAAAAAAAATATCTCAAAAATATTTAGACTAGAAATTAAGATTAGAAATAAAGAAATTAATTTTTCTAAATTTTTTAATCTTTTATAGTTTAACAACTATTAAAAAAAAGATAATTTTAGAAACCATATTACATTTCGTATTAGGTATAAACGTTTCTTCATAAAATGACCTAAAAAAAACAACTTTTAAAATATTGGGCAGTACTTATGATTATAATATAGTATCCTGTATAGATTAAATATAGATATATTTTCATTATTTGGAAAAAATTCAGAGAACTTTTAGAAATAAGGACAATAAAGAATATTTATTTCTTTTCTGTGCTAACAAGTTATAATGCACTTAGAGTTACTGAAAAATTATTTCGAATGTTTCTCTTTTCGTTTTAACAAGAATTATGCCGCTGGAGTTTCACGCGCACGTTTTTCACTCTATTCCCTCTCTATTCGACAGAGATTTGCGCAGGTAACTGTCGTGATGGATGAAATCCGACTGTGAAGTTACCATAAAGTTCGTTTCGTTGTGTGCAACTCGGTCGTGCTCGTTAGATCCATCCTACAAGCTACGACGTTACACGGTTCGTAATTAAGGAATCCTGTGTAATTCTCAATTCGATATGGAAATGCACTTGTGTGCGTTGGACAATTACGTTTTCACCTACTTAGGACAAACAGTCGATAAACAAAACAGTCATAAACTATCCGCTAATAGAATCTTTAATTATTAAAATACAATGTAATAATTTCTTTTAAATTTTATTGATCCGTCAAAGCAAATTATATTAATCAATAGAAATATAATTTGCTTTGACAGTTCAATAAAATTTGAAAGAAATTATTATATTATATTTCTTTATTAATAATTAAAGATTCTATGAGCAGATAGTTTATGACTGTTTTGTTTATCGACTGTTTGTCTTAAGTAGGTGCATGGAAAACGTAAATGTCCAGTGCAAGTGCATTTCCATATCGAATTGAAAATTGCACATGATTCTTTAATTACGAACCGTGTAACGTCGTAGCTTGTAGGATGGATTTAACGAGCCCGACGATTATAAATTAATAATATTAATTTATAACTTAGAAATTATGATTTCAATTTTTAATTAGTGCTTTCACTTATTTTTTATTTTTTTTATTTCTTTATCAGTGATAACAAACACAATAATAAAAATAAGATATAATATAATCGTTGGGCAATTATATTTATATTTAGAAATATTAACTTAATTCATTTTAAATAAAGATTGTATTAAGAAAATATTTATGAGATTAATAAAAATTATTTGAGATAGCTAGACATTTATTATAAAAATTATAAATTTCTCATATTTGTTTTGTAAATCTATGAATAGTCGTCCATAACGAGCTTGACATTTAATGCGAACATTACAAAGATATTATTATTAGAAAAAGCATATTATCAGCTCAAACTATATTGTAATAATTATATATACATATATAATTATGAAGTGCAACGCATTTAACAGTATCAAGTTGCTTCTATTATTTGACACATAGTTTATATTTTGCGCTATAATAACCAGCATTCGTTTAATAATGTTTCGAAGTCAATTACATTTCGCTGAATGTAGCTTTTGAGCAAGCTCGGTCGACTTGGAAAGGAGTACACTCAACGTCGACTAAGACATCGTCTTTCTCACAGAGGCGGATGAGTTTCGTCCCTCTCTTCGCAATATAATCGTTAATCTCTTAAATATCGTGAAATATCCGACTATTTAATGTAAATGTATCACTCTGCTTAATTTTTAAGCAGTGCCGCAAAAAATTATTTCCGTAAGTATACAGTTAAAGAATTGTGTCATAAGAGAAAATGATATAGAATTATTTTAATAAAATGATGGAAATTAAATTAAGGATTTATTTTCAAGCCCTTTTTTTATTTCTCCAAATTATTTATAAGCATTTTGAATTGTATATATATGTATTCTATATAGTTGTAGATCTCTATGAACACGACAGAAGAACACAATAAACGAAATTTTTGAATACATTTCTTTATTTCATTGATTGAATTCTTTAAATATTCCGTAAAATGAGATGAGAGTTCCATCGACATGTATGTGTAATCAGTTACAAAATACATGAAAATTTTTGAGAAACAAATGTATGCGGCACGTAAATTTTATTGATTTCCAAGCGATACCAACGATTTGTATTTACGATTTAATTTCACGAATATTCACAAACTCACTTGTGTTAGTTATGAGATTTTATCGTGCATATTCAGCGAAATTCGTGAAAACGTCTGTTCGCAGAGAACGTCGAGCGAGAAACTCGAGAATACTATTCTCTGATATGCTCAGATGATTTAAATATGGTGAAGCAAACATCACGCAAATGCATGTGCGTTGTGTATTTCTATATGAAGAAATTCTTCGAATGGCTGCATAAATCCGGAATGCATTATATTGCAACTTCAGATTATTTAAATATCATGTGTCTCCGATGAACTTATGACATATATGAATGAAATTTTTTCGAAGATAACTTGCTGTGTTTATGTGCATGTCTACGTAAGTGTAACGAGAAAATTAAGTAGCGTAAAATGTATCACTATGAGGTGGAAAGAAGGCAGTGCATTTATGAATGCATTATGCGCAAGCTGAAAATCCGTTACACATTATGAATAAATACATATTTTGTCACACGTGGTCTATTGCATAAATAATCAATAATTATTTATGCAATGAAACTGTAATAACATTGTTAACAGATTATTCTGTCAACCAATAAATCTTGTTCATGTCATGGCAAAAAATTATGACGAGTAAAATGGCATAAGCTTTATTATTAAAAAATATGATTGAACTGAATTAATATGTGCAATGTAATTGTCATTTAGCAAATAAATTGACGGGTTTTGGCGTCATAAGCTGGATTTGGCGAACATATTTAGTCTCGTTTAGAACATTATTTCGTCAAACACACACATACACAACACACGCATATTTGGATTATTATCTCTCTCGTATGAGAGATCTACAGTCAATAAATGTATTACATTCATGTAATAATGTAGAAATATATATAGCGACGGGATATTTGAAATTATAATATTAAGATATGTTAAATTAGAATTATTAAAATATAATTTATAGTTGCTAAAATACAAGCATCAGAAGCTCAAAAAGAATAAAAAGATTAATCATCCATATTAAACGTTTTAAATATCGGTAAAAAGAGCTCATCAAACTTTTATAACTCTCGTCGACATCACAAAGTGCCTATCAATTCTTATAAGTACATAATTTACGATTAATCGTTACCTGTTATCTGAATTATTCGAGTAGGTATCAGTTATGTCCGACATGATGAACGAGCTGTAAGATACAGAAAGCTATCAGTCAATGAGACGTGATGGCTCTTAAATCATGGCATCGTTCCAAAGTGTTCGGCATCCTGAGCGAGTTTTGAAAGAGACTGAAGACCAAAAAAAGAGATTCATGCCGTTGAATCCATAGATCTTCGTTCAAGAAGGTGTGTTCTTCTGGCGAGGTAACCGTTCTCGCTCGAACGCGCGAGAAATAAATCCAAACACCGGATTTGAGCATGCATTATTCACTTTGAGAAAGATGTATTCGTTCCGACGTGAAAAATAGAAAACAAATTTGTTCAACGACCAATCAACGACCATAAATTAAACGTACTCGCAATATTGATACGCATTTCTAATGAATTTAATTTAAAAGGCTTCCGTAAAACATGAGTTTCTGTTCTTAAACAGCATAATAAATATATAAGATTTTCAATAATATAAAGCTAAAATATGTCGATTCTTTTAGATCATACTTTTAAATTATAAAAGTAATACAAGAGATTTTAATAAATATCGACATGTAAAAATATAAATTTATTGTAATTTTGCAAAATCTGAACATTTTAATTTTTATTAAAATGCTTAAGATTAATGGCATAGACTTTAAAGGCCCGTCTACAATACACGGAGTAAGAAGTAAGAGTAAGAAATTGACCAATCACAGACCGTGTATTGTAGACGACGCCTTATAGATATATAAAATTAACTGTAGATTTTATATGAATTAGATCTTTTAAGTAAACAGGAGTAGACAAAAAGAGAGAAAAAGAGAGGAAATTTTAAAGACAAAAATAAAGAACAATAGAACTGTTCCAATTTTTAACTACAGATAAATAATAAATTCTTCCAAAGAGTGATCGATTTCTAATTGTAAATAATAACGTGCAGAAGAAAGGATATAAATTAATGTAATATTTAAGAACAGTATGTAATAATAGCGATACAGGCCTGATGAATATTGCGCACACAAAAGAATTTATAAAAATCTACGACTCCCACTGGTACTTGATGATTTACGATTTTCACGTGATAACTGT